AAAATGACTTGGAAACAAGCCAGCGAAAAGTAGCACACTACTAATTCTGTAATGCAGCTTCTTTGTGGGTATAAATGCTGTCAATTGGCTTAGCTTGTCAGGATGGTTGTGTCATGTGTGCCGGACTTCCCAAGAGTCAATGGTTAGTTTCAGTGCAACATGATGTTTCAAAGAAATGATGCCAGTTTAAATCTGTTTATGGTGTGCGAATCAAGCTTACAGGGAACTCTTTTCACTTGAATTTGAATTTCGTGAAGCTTCTTTTTCTTTTCCTGTTTCCTTCTATAGTATTATGGGGGTAGATGGCAATGAAGCTTGATTGTATATCTTGTGCCATGCATAACAGGGACGAGATCCCCTTCCTGGAGGGGGCAGTGGGGCTGGAGCTGGTGGTGGTCCTCATGTTAGAGCTCGATCTGGGGTCTCTCCTGCAATGGCTGGTTATGATGCACAGAGAGTGCCCAGTGCACCTGGCTATGATGTGTCGAGGGCGCCTGGGAACAATGCGCAGAGAGGTCCCAGATACAATGCTCAGATGGGACCTAGCCACGACATGCAGAGGGGATCCAGTTATGATCCTCAGAAATTGCCTGGTTATGATGGACAGAGAAGACCTGTTTACGATGCACAGAGAGGATCTGGATACGAGGCACAAAGAGGACCAGCATATGATGTTCTGAGAGGACCCAGTTATGATAAGTTGAAGGGTGCTGGGGCTGCTGGCTTTGATGCTTCATCCAGAGGCACTGTTGGACTTCAAGGGCAGGCAGCACCTGTGAACAACGTGCGTTACGGGTCTGCAGCACGATCTACTCCTACCGGAAGTGGTTATGAGGCTCCTCCACTCCACCACAAGGTGGAAAAACCTGTCCCTAGATGAACTGGATACATTTTATCGGTTTCAGATTTGCAAATGCTTCCATGGTGAAAGTGTTCTGCCAGATATGTTGAGGTATGAGCAAGGGGGTTAGATAGTTCTACATTTGCGAATATGTGGATGAAAGTAATTCATTTGTTGGGAGGAGCCTGATAAGCTGTAATTGGACGAGCTTTAAGCTTTTGTATTGATTGTTACAATTGCTGAGGATGTATACCGGCTTATTTATGCCTTTCTATATATATTTTTTATGTAGTAGAGGCTTGGGAGATATCAATTTTTAGGGTTCGATTTCATGGTTGATTTTACATATGTTGATAGAATTTTTGTTAACGAATAAATTAACTTATGATTGATTATTAGTAAATAAGATTAATTTTTTTTTTTTAATTTTTTTTGCTAAAAATGTATATTAATTTTTAGCTCAAGTCCAGCCGAGTTTGGACAAAAATTTAAGCTCCATGGTGGACCAGGGTCTAGACCAATGACAATAAAATCGAGCTTGCTTGAACAGGAGATTGGAACAAACTGATTACTAAAATCTTAAAAAAATGAGGAGTAAAATTGAGATAATTCAAAACTAATGGGGCTCTTTAAGACGAGAGAAATGGTAAGGGACATATATCAAAATGTTCCATTTGCTATAATTTACTTTCGAGAGTATTAACCCGACCCAACCCGATCTGTGAACTATGATAATGAAATTTTTAAAGGGAAGATTATACTTAGACCTCTTGAGATTTGTCATTTAATTATTTAGACCCCTGATATTTGNCCATATATATGATAATGAAATTTTTAAAGGGAGAATTATACTTAGACCTCTTAAGATTTGTCATTTAATCATTTAGACTCCTGATATTTAAAATATTACACACAAACTCCTTGAAGTTTGTACGGACATAACACTTAGACTCTTGATATAAATATATCATTTAATAAATTACACTTAAACCCTCTAAAATTTATAAATATATAATACTTAGACCCCTTAAGTTTAAAATATTATATTTAGACCAAAAATACTCCAATTAATGCTAAAATATCAAATATTTTAAATTTTACAATTAAAATTCATGTTATATTGTATCATTTATTGAAATAAAATCAAAAATAAAAATTCAATTTTTTTTTAAAATTCATAATTAGTTTACAATTATATTATCTATTAGAATTTAATTTGATCGTTTAAACAACCAAATTAAATACCAAACTATCCTAATTAAAGTTAAAAGATATTATGTCAGTTACAGTTTGACCTATTATTTAATTTTTTAGTTTTATTCTAATAGATAGTATAATTTATATAATAACTATGATTTTTAAAAAAAAAATTAGATTTTTATTTTTGATTTTAGTTTAATAAATAAAATAATAGAACATAAATTTTAGATGTAAAATTCATGCTCTATTATGAATGACTTAGACCTCTTGTTTGATTTTTTAGTTTGATTCCAATAGATGGTATAATTATATACTAATTACGATTTTTTAAGAAAAAATAAATTTTTATTTTTAATTTTATTTCAATAAATGATACAATAAAATTTAAAATATTTGATATTCTATATTTGATTGAAATATTTTTAGTTTAAATATAATATTTTAAACTCAATGAGTTTAAGTATTATATATTTACAAATTTTAAGTGTTACGCACGTCTAAACCTCAAGAACTCCGTGTATAATATTTTAAATGTTAGAAGTCTGAGTGATTAAGGGACAAATTCTTTTTTTTTTTTTTTTGTTTTTTTTTTAAATTGTGTAAATCGATGCGCCGCTCGTCTTCAAAAATTCAAAATATTCACTTTCCCGGCAAAGGTCTGTGCACAGAACCTCCATGGAAGACGATTGGCTTCGACAGCAATACAAAGGTCATCTCTCTCTCTCTCTCTCTCTCTCTGTGTGTGGATGTAAATGTGCACGTACACACATATAGACATATATCTATACACAAAGATGCTTTCGGGATGAGACTTAATAGATCGGGGAATTCAATAATTAGGGTTTCCCTAATCGGATTTATAATCTTTTGAACGTACAGCTTCCGTGAATTTCCCCCTCCAAGGCATGGAATCAGTTGTTGCTACGGTCAGTGGATATCACGGTTCTGAGCGGTTTAAACTCATCAAACTGATATCTCAGACTGGTGCAAGCTATGTTGGGGCGATGAATCAATCCACAACACATTTGGTCTGTTTTCTTATTTTCCGAAATTGTTGATTTTCTTTTCAAGCTTTTGATTTTATATTTCTTTATTATCGATTGAGTGATGTAAATATATATATTTGAAATTGACCGAATGATCAGGTTTGTTGGAAATTTAGAGGGAGGAAATACGAGCTCGCGAGGAAGTTCAACATGCTTATAGTCAACCATCGATGGGTTGAAGATTGTATAAAGCAAGGTAGACGGGTACCAGAGCATCCCTATCTCTCCAAGTGGTACGATGAACTGTCAATTGGTGTTTGTTTACATTATTTCGCTTACAAGCATGTTGGTTTTTTTATTTGAACGTTTAGTCTTCGGTATGATGTTCGTGTGTAGTTTCAGTTAGAAAAAATTACTGGATTGAATAACGAGACACTTCTGGTAATTAATTTGTAAATGATATATAAAATATATCATTAAGTCACAGTTTGTTACTAGTCATTAACACTGATGAAGTTCTGGGCATAAGAAAACTTTCAGTAGCTTGCCACATATCCTATGCTTGGCTTTGGATATTTATGGTAGAACATGTTTACCTTAAATTGATTTTTAACCAGTAACAGATTTGAAATGTTTGTCTGGTAACAGAAACATAATTTAGCTTGGTGAGATAATGTGTTGCTTTATGATTTGAATTTTGGTTCTTTATTTTTGAAAGTTGAATGAACTAAACTAGTGCTATAATGTACGTGTAGGATTGATGTGATGCATTGTATATGTATTTTATTTTGATGAGCTGACCATTGCTTGTTACATTGGAATCACTGGTGACTGATTGTTTAGGTTTTTCGACTTTTTTGCAGTGGTCAAAAAGTTGGGCCCTTACTGTTGGATTTCTCTCTCACCGATAAAGCAAGTCTTTTGCCTCCTGTTCTATCTAATGCTTGCGTCGACTTTAAAGAACCTGCACTTGACATCGAGCCTGAAGAGATTGACCATGCTGTTTGGATTGATTCTAGTTTGTTAAATGAGGTGACAACCAAAATCATATGCAATATATTAGAAGAAATATTTTCTTTCTCGATGTAATTCCTTGAAACTGATTTGATGATGAGGGATGGTAAGACAGAATTCTGTCTCCTTTGAACAGGGGTTCTTATTCCTTTGGTCCCAATTACTTTGTTTCTGTGTGTCGGTCTGAAGTTGTTGCCTTAGCAAAACAGTGGGATGAAAGGCCTTTCATCTTGAGTGTTTTTTACCTGCCTTACATACTGGCTCTTTTTCACTGCAATGTTGAACTTTTTCTTCTTCTCCATATTTTTCTTAATCATTTGTCCACAGTATTGGCCTTGGCATGGTGCTAAGGTTGCTCCATTGTTTCCCGGGTATCACAGGTTCAATTAATGGAAACAGCCTTTCAGTCTCTGCACCTGGGTTAACGCTCCCTCCTGCACTGGCACGAGCTTTGTACACTGAGCACCCCTTTCTATACAAAGTAGAACTGATATGATGTGCTGAAGAATTTGAACCTTAAACTTTAATATGGATCCTTGCATATCCTGACTGGGCTTGTGTAGGTAGATGTCTTTTGGAATAGCTATTATAAGATAATGTGGAGTGTTCTAAGTCAAATACATGAAGATTGAGAAAATAATTGCATCATACATCGTCTAAGTTTTGAAATATGGTCGGGGAAGGAACTGCACTTGGGATCAATGTTAGCGAACTTTGTGGACCTCAGAAATATCGATTCATTTGGGGATGCGATACAGATTTTCAATTTTATAAGCAATATTGTTTCCAAAAGCCTGTATCTCTTCATTTTTGCTTTCGTTAAAACACCATATGATAAGGAGCAAGTTTTTTTTGTCGACTTGAAACTTCATAAATTCTAGATTGGCAATGTCTCCTAGACAATATATATAACAAGGAGAAAAGGTGTAAACATCATGAAACCTTTTAGATACACATAGAGAGAGACAAGTTGTACCACAGAGCAACTCTTACTTGTCTCTATAGAGTGATTTTGAAGGCCTATAAATTTTTCAAGATACTTTAGTGGACTGTAACTTTTGGTGGATTGCTGAAACTATCTTAGAGACATGCTATTCTTGTTACTGTCTGCGTGTTTAGTGTATAAAGGTCACCTTTGTATTGAACTCTGGTGTTAAAATTTTATGCTTACTTTGATGATATGATCCCCTATTCAGCTATTCTCCCAAAAACTCTCTCGCCAGTAGTATAATGGGATGTTTATACTTTGCATAATAAATGTTGGGTAAATTCCTCTTCTGGATAAGATCCTGCTTTAAGCTTTGTGTTAATGCCTTTGTTTCGTCTCTTACTAGTTATTCATTTGATTTTTTTGGCGATCATCTAATGTTGACTTTTCCACACTGATTCAGTTGCAGAATTCATCTCCTAAACTGGACAGAAGGAAGAGTAATTCTCGCAGATTACCGAGAAAGACGGGTAATAAAAGTGTAAGGCGGGATCACTCGTCTGGAAGCAGATATTGTTTTGAGGAGCCTTTTTTATCTGATTTTCTGAGGATGGAGGTAATGAATTGAATTATCTTCTCGTTCATTGTTTTCTGCTATTGTCTTATTCATTTCTATTTTTGTAGGCCAATTTTTTCCCTAGCTTGTCTATTTTTTCTCCTAGTTCCTATGGCTGTGTTGCTGTTGTTCTTTGAATTCATTTCAGTTCTGTGAGCAAAAAGCTCCACCCTCCCCCCGCTTACCCTTTAAAATTATGCCTATCCAATATATGGTGATGTTAAGACTGATGCATTATTTTACATTTGTAGTTGTTTTTGAAATTCTTTCCTTTATGCCTGTTACATAGTACGAAGAATCGGATGCTCCTTCCTCTACACGCTTGGGCAGACAGAAGAGAAGCAGCACTACTTCAGCTGAACCTTCTCGCAAAAGCTATAGGTTGGTGAAAAAGAAAAGTAGGGACATTTTGGAGTCTTTTTCAGATTCTGAGCAAGAGTGCCACACAATAAGGGCCCATCACAAGCATAATGAGATTACAGCTCCAGCTGCAACTTTTGATGGTGGGAGGAATGGAAGCATATCAACAGTTAGGGAAGCATCTGATGATAGCTCTTATAGCCATGGGGGAAATACACTTGAGAGTATGGAAGATGTTGAAGAGATTACAAATTTGAATGATGATGTTGCATTCAAAGATTCAAAATTCCATTCTCTTGTAGAAAATCCACAAGATGATTGTTTGATTGTTGACGATGATATAAATGACATCGAACATATTACCAGATTGTCTACGTCGACAGAATTATCATGTGTTATATGTTGGACAAATTTCAGTTCAACTAGGGGGGTTCTTCCATGTGGGCATCGATTTTGTTTTCCATGCATCCAAAGCTGGGCCGATCATATGGTATGTATTTGCTGTTTTTGCATTTTATTCTCCTCCTTTTTTGCGCTTACTGCAGTTTTATATATTAGCAAGAGAATGCATGCTATTTTCTGAATGTTTCTTATTGTGCAATTAAAAATTTTGAAATTTGTTGCTATGTTATGTATAACAGAGGACATGTCAATATCCTGTTGATTTGAAGGATATTGCAAGTAAACTGACTTCTGAGTTTGCTAAGGGAACTATTCTCAACAGAGGACATTCCGATTGAATCTGTGATAGATTATAATATCCTGCTGTGGTTTATATGTTGTCATCTTACATTTGACATTGAATTTTAAGAAAACTTTGAGATGACAAAGTGGAAGCTACACATGAAGGATGTTTGTTAGATTCAAAATAAGTTGCAACATGAAGAAAATAACCTTTTACTTTTTCTTTTGTTGCATAAACTATCTCTTGATATTATAACTAAAAGATTAGTAACAGACTAAAAGGTGAATACCAAAAAAAAAAAAACTACAAAAAATTTCACTAGGCTATTGAAGCTATCAGTGTGGTTGATCAGACAAGTACCACAGCCTTTTAGTGTACTTCTTTGAGTTCTTCCATACCCAAATTTCATTGTGACAAGTACTAGCATTAGTATGACTTCATTGATTGTGTATGGCCAATCCATCTTTGCTGAGGAATTCCACGTTAACCAAAAAACCGAATTTAATAGGAATAGGAACAGAATTTTTTCTCTTCATTTTATCTTACCAACTTGTGGAAGTACATGCACCAATGACCAACACAGCCCCACATCTTCTTGGTTCACTACAAAAATAATGATGAAATTTTATATTGCCGGAACTTATCTATTTTCGTCTTTGCTCTGGATTTACCTAATTATAAAAATTAAATGATTTTGGTAAGTTCCACAGGCACCAATGACCAACAGAGCTCCGCATCTTCTTGGCTTAATAAAAAAATAATGATGAAATTTTAGATTGCAGGAACTAACCTATTTTTGTCTTTGCTCTGGATTTACCTAATTATCAAAAGTAAACGATTTTTGTTAAGTTTCAGGTGTGTGGCCTCTAAACTTTACTACTTCCCTATGCATTGAATTTTGTACCTTATCATAAGTTGATAAGGCNTTCAGGTGTGTGGCCTCTAAACTTTACTACTTCCCTATGCATTGAATTTTGTACCTTATCATAAGTTGATAAGGCTTTTTACAGGCTTCAAGGAGTTTCTAAAGTTGTACAGGCAACACGTTCCGGTCAAAACGAGTGTAATGTTTCCACGATGATGCAGTCTCTTCTGATCAGAAAATATACTCGCAAACTATTCCATATGATCTGTCAAAAATGGATGTATACCTTCTTTCCTATGGGGAAACATCCACTCTTGGAGCACAGGTATGACCCCATGCTGACTATGTTATTCCGGTTGACTTCTTGTTGACATCAAACCCTGTCCACTTGGCACAAGAATATATAGGCAGCCTTCTTCCTACTCTCTGCTCCTTGTACATATCACATTCATATAAAGGAGCTGTTTTTATCTTATTTTTCCCCACAATGTCTTTTTCTCTTACAAATTTTAGCCATTAAAGACTGTTAATTCAATGAGCTGTTGTGGTAGGCTTATTAAACTTCTTCTGATTCTTACAAATTTATGAATAGGTTCTGCTGGTTATTTGATGAAGAATAAAGATTCATATATATCCTTTCTATCTACAACAACTATACATGCACATTACACACACCACGCACAGACACTCCACAAATTAAGGTTTAATCCAACTTCCAACTGACATGTTTGGAGCTTTGCTTATAGACATTGTAAGGGGTAGAACCCTCTACTAAGGATTTCGGCTTAACCTGGGTTAACCCATGCGGGCGACCCCCCAGTAGCCTTTACCTCTCAGTGCCCGCAGGAGCTTCGTCCCACATCGACTGAGAGTCGTCTCCCCCCCTCGCATATAAGCCCTTGCACTCAAAGGAGGAGGTACCCACTAGGCATCTGATCAGGTCGCTAGTGGGTACCTCCTCCTTTGAGTGCAAGGGCTTATATGCGAGGGGGGGAGACGACTCTCAGTCGATGTGGGATGTAGCTCCTGCGGGCACTGAGAGGTAAAGGCTACTGGGGGGTCGCCTGCGTGGGTTAACTCAGGTCAAGCCGAAATCCTTAGTAGAGGGTTCTACCCTTACAGACATCTATAAGTAAACCCATGTTAATAATCATGTTTTTCTGTTCCACATTGTCAGTCCTCTTGCATGGATACGTTAATATCTGATCTGCATTTTGTTGGTGCCCGTTAAAAGTAGCATTCTCACTGTTCACATGATAAATTGCCTTACGATTGCAACAAAAAGAAGGGGTCTTAATTGTCTTCTATTTGCGAAATTTGTCATTTCTAACTCTTCTTTGTTTCATTTCATCTTTTGGGGGGTAGCCATCAGTAGCGGTAACACCAGTCTGTTCTCAATGCTGTTGTCGGGAACCAGAGGATCTTCTCATTAGATGTCATCTCTGCCAGAGTCGATGTGTTCATTCCTACTGCCTGGATCCTCCGCTGCTTCCATGGACATGCGCTCACTGCAAGGATCTCCAAGTGCTTTACCATCATCTTCGTTAGCTTCCTCAACTGCCTGAATGTAATGGTAACAAATCATCTTTAACTCCCACTCAGCTGCCTACCATTCATGTTCAACTCAAAAAGCTTAATTGTTTGGATATGACACACAGTTCACACTATTGCTGTATTAAAATGCATCACTTGAGACTTGACCATTTTGGGAAATTCACCACTGAAATGTCAGTCTGTTTGATTTGATCCTGTTCATTTCTCTGGCTCTATTTAAGCAATATGTAAAATTGATATATCATTAGTATTTAGTAACATTTTTCAAATAATCATTTTAATACAAAAAAAGTTTGTTTGATTACTATTTTATCTTAGTAATATATTTGAGTTTTAGTATGTAGATGATGCCTTAGAGTATCTCCAACAGATGATCTAAAATATACAAAATCTTCAAATTTTAGCTATTTAGCCCAAAAAATTTCATTACAACATATTATATTCAAAACATGTAAAATAACATTTTGTTACAGCGATACTCTAAATAACAATATGTAAATTTTTTTTTATTTATAATATTTTCTCTCCTTTTCTCTCTTTTCCTCCGTTCTCTCTCTTTCTCCACTTCACTATTTTTAAAAAAAATAATATAAAATGAATGAGAAATAATATTTAAAATGAGTAGTTAAAAGTATAAAAACTCTGTTGGAGTGTCTATTTAAAAAGTGAGTAGTTAAAATAAAAAATATTATTTTTTGAATAGTTAAAATAGCTTTTATTATTGAAGATGTTATTATGCACGGGCACGGGCATATATATATATATATATATAGAAATAGGTTATTTGGCTATGAAGACCTCTTCAACACCGACTCTCTCTCTCTTCCGAAAATGACCTTAACCCAAAATAATCAATTCGAAGAAACTGTTCCCATGTGTGACTGACCAGAGAATTGTTGTCCAGGTTTTCCAAGCTTCGGACATACTAAGAACAGAAAGATTGGCATATCATAATAAACTGTCAAGAATTTTTTTTTTTTTCACACCACTGGAGTCACAACAATTCCAAACTGAATGTGACCATGTTAACATTGTGCTATGATCAGGATTTTTTTATTGTTTGGTTCAACAGTTAAAATGTAATTATTACTGTTATTATATTTATTATTTTACAAGTAGTGTGCCAGCACGTAATTAATAGGATAAACAATGAGAACATTGACAAACCCAATATAGATGCACCAGGGAAGTACATAAAAATATTGTAGGTCCGGTTCTACCTGATGGTTGGCACCAGCAATCTTTAGATTATTCCTCCTCAAGGCTTTTTTTTAAAAAAAAAAAAAAAAAAAAACTCCCCAAAAAACACAGCCCTTTGCTTGTGTATATGCACAAAGAATCCAACTTTGTAAGCCATCCAAATCTTTAGAAGCAAACCCAAAACCAGAGGCAATCTAGAATGGTAGCAAAGATTGTATGATAAATTTTGTAGTTGAATTGTTATTAGGAATGAGTTGTAAACTCAGACGTCTTGAGTTTGAATTTTGTCTATTCTTTAGAGTTAGATCATGAGAGATTTTTGCCTCATAAATATTTTAATCTCGACATGAATGACCTATTTTGGCTAAATCGAAAAAAAAATTAATTAAAACACGTGTATATTAATTCAAATATCTTTAAACGTTGAATAAAAAAAAAAGACTATGATTCATGGAGGATGACAAAAAATAAAGACTATGATTCATGGAGGATGACAACACAACGAAAATTTAATTTATTAAACGAGGCCAACTTCATAACATATTTTAAAATTATATTAAGATTCGAAGCTAGAACGACTTTTGAAACCTAATAACCGCCATAACCCCCCCCTCCCCGCCTTTGTTTCAAGGATTAAGCTTAATTGCCTTCAGACTCAAGTCAACTAGTGTAAGTTCCCAACAGACCAAATGTCACATTGTCTTACGCTTGAGGTATTTTTTTTTTTTTTTTTAATGATCAAGAGTGTTTGTGCTAATTTATGCTCATTTTGGTTTATTTCACTCACACATTTTTTAATTTATCATAACTTCAAGAATACCTTTTTTATTATTTAAAATATCATTAAAATATTTTTTACTTTATATTTAAACATCATTGATACTCTCTGCCGTTAACCTCCTGTTTCTAACAAAAAATGTTCATTTAAAATATCAAAATTACTTTTACATAAATTTTAAACAATCTTTCTACGTAAAATTTTAGTTGATTAAAATTTATTTTTCTTTGTATTTAAATTCGAGCCGATTAAAATTTATTTTTTACATATTAAAATTTGAGTCGATTAAAATTCAATTCGAGTTAATTAAATTTTATTTTTTTTACGTATTAAAATTTGAGCCTATTAAATTTTGTTATGTATTAAAATTTAAGCCTATTTGAGCTTTACCTGAGCTGTTAATGCTGATTAAAATTTGTTTCGAGTCTATTAAAATTTATATTTTTTTACTTATTAAAATTCCTGTCAATTAAAATTCGATTCAAGTTGATATAAAATTTATTTTTTACGTATTAAAATTTGAGTTACTTAAAAATTATATTTTTTTATGTATCAAAATGTGGGCCGATTAAAATTTAATTTGAGTTGATTAAAAATGAATTTTAATTGGCTCGAATAAAATTTTAATCGACTCAAATTTTAATATGATAAAAATATA